ATGCAATCATACAATACATACAATACAATAATTCGCAAGCGTACCACCGCATTCTGTACAAAGACGTTTATTGAACTTGGGTCGAAATTAGGAATTCCTTGTCTTCTCTCTTTTTTCGTTCGTTGTTGCTACTGTTACTTTGCTCATTACACTAGAGTCGAGATTCCAAGTTTCGCAGTTAGTGTGCCGATTCGAGGTTCGAGCATTTAAATGCAAGTAGTCTAGCGCTACCCCCAACGATACAGTGGGGTTCCGAAGACCCGCCTATACGGATTGCTAAAAACGCTAGGCTACGAGAATCACACCTTGCACTTTCGGACGAAGCTGTAGTTCCCCGATTTGACACACTGACTGCGAAACTTGGAAAAACAACTCTAGTGCAACGAACAAGGTAATAATAGTCACAACGAACGAAAGAAGAGGAGAGATGAGGGATTCCGAATTTCGTCCCAAGTTCAATAAACCTGTCTTTGTACTGTATGCGGTCACAATGTATTTACAGAAATTAACTAAAATTAAACGCACGCAACTTAAATTAACGATGCACGCATCACACGACGTCCCTGGTGCTCAGATGGATCGATGCGCCCACGATTGATGTTCAATTGGTAATGAGTCTCCGTATCATTCAAGGTTTCCGTCGTCAATGACCTGCAGTTGACAATACTTTTTTCATAATTCTAATATTTAGTCTTTTTGTACACATCGAAAAATCAATTGATAATGAGTTTTCTTGCAGCTCAAGGTTAATCCAATATTTAGGTAGTCAGTGATCAGAAAAAATTTCTAATTACTTTTAGTATTCCTAAAAACAATTTCTATGCTATTATATTCAATAATTTAATTGTTTTTACCTTTTTCTCGCAAAGTTACACTTTCATGAAAATGTTACAATGTTAAGTGTATTATTTTATTAACTTTTTTTCGGCTAAAACTGAATTTACAATTTCGTGATAATAATTCTTAAATTATAACTGCATTGATGTGTATTAAATAGAAATTTTCGTAAAGAAAAATTATGTAGAAATTGAATTGACTGTTTGGAATGGAAATGGAATTGAAGTGACTGTCGCTTTAAAATAATTGTGCAACATATAAAAACTTTCGCTCGTACTTTATTTCAGAGATATATGTATATAGTGTAACTGTCTTTTCCGTTTGTATAAATGAAATAATTTAATTTAATCATTCATTAATTTAATTAAAATAAGAGAATTATTCAGACTGAGATAATGTTATGGAATCTAAATACTTATACAATTGTTATAAGTAAATAGTTAAAATTGTTAAAGGGTACATAAAAATGTCTAAATGCATTATTTATTCATTGGAAGCAATTATATTATTTTATTTCTATAATATTTCTAGACATTACTTAATAACTTTCACGGCTTTTATACCACGATTAAATAATAAGTTTAATTATTTCATTCAATAATTCAAATTCATATCTTTTTAGTACAGTGTCCAAGATTATTATAAATTATCAGTTAAAAATTAAATAATACTTAGAAACATTTCGGAAATGAATTTACCGTCTAATTGCTGCAAGTAATTATTTAGAAATTTTAGATAGCGTTTGGAATATTATAACAATTAGAATATTATAACAATTAGACTATTCAGAAATAATACTTAAAAATTCACTTCGAATGTTTAATCGATCTGCATACGATGAAGATTCAATTTATAATGACCATTTTCTCTGCTCAACCTTTAGGTAAAGTCAGTGATGCGCAACAGGTGGTACTCTTTGTCCATAATTCCAAAGAAGGCTTTCTATAGTAATAAATAATTCTACAGTTTTTAGGATTTATTTATCAAAATTTTACAGTTTTATTTTTTACAGCCCCCATATTTAATATAAGGCAGTAATGTAATTTCTAAATTTAATATAAGGCAGTAGTGTAATTTCTAAATTTTTCAAAATAAACGCAAGGTAGGATTTAACTTATAGTTCTGACATGAACTAAATGCTAATTTATAAATCTGTGACATATAGTAATGATATATGTAGAAAATTATTATATTGGAGTCAAAAATTGAATTGGTCGTATTTTGAACTTTTGAATGCAAATAAGAGAGCGTTCACATTTAAGTCAATAATTTTCGATGTAGTTATAACAACATTCCACATACGAGATCGTTTGAGCTCGAGCGGATACGAAAACATACGAACAATCCTCTAACTCGTCTATTTTGCTAGTTTAACCATTTCGTCGAGTCGATGGACAGAACAGTAACAAAAATGCAACAACCATATGAGACTTTTAGTTCATGGCAACTATGCTTTCGTCAGGAAAACCGAAACATGTCCCTTTAATTCTATTTTCTTTTGTCATTATTTACAATATCGAAGGCAAAGTTGGCGCAAGTATACACTGAATATTCCCTCACTTATATTGGTTTCTTTGAATGTAATGTGAAGGGATTTTGAACAGTTTTTCTTTCTAACGTGTATGTGTGTTTGTTGATATAATGATCAATTGGGATATTGATTTCTAAATGATATTTAAGGATCGTAAAAGTCAATGAAAATGTGGTTAATCCGCAAGTATACCGGCAATGAGAATAGAAGAAAATGGGAACGGGCAACGTTTCAATTTCTTAAAATCTTAATACTGACATATATGTCAATAATAAGTAACGTCGTACTGCAAGAAGGAATATATATACGCCATCGCTTAAAAAAATAAATTTGACTTTGAAATTTCAAAACGGATGAATTTTGAAAGAAATAATTTACAACACATAATGTTCTTCTATATTGCAAACAATATTTGTTACAATTGATAAGTTACAATTTTCATAAAATCGAGTTCATTGGATGAAAATAATTCATTCGGGTTGTAAATTTACAAATTTGTAAATAAAAAGGTGTAGTTAATTATACTGTACATAAAAACATCACATTTCAATCAATGTTTTCTAATATTTTAAATACGTATTAACAGTCAAATATGAACAAAATTTTTCATTCCATTTTCCATTATTCACTGTTTATACTCCATCATACATCATCCACTCCATCAACAGAATGTGACACGACATTGGTAAGATCCTGAGAACCTCACTACTATGGCCGAAAAAATATACTGGATACATTGTCTCTTCATATTTCTTGTCTGGGGAATTAGTGAATACCTGAAAAGTTTTTTACAGGCAGTATATTAAAATTCTTAACCTGCTGATAGATGATTTTTAAAATAAATAATTTTTAATATAAATAATTAAATATAAATAGAATATATTTTTTTCATTGATCAAGAACAAGATAGACACGATTTCACTTGGCACTTGATGTTTTGAAATATCGATATCGAAAAAGGTTGGAGTCTTTTTCTAAAACCCCTCCGCGATTTATATACAAAGACATATTGTAATCAAAAATTAAATTGACATTGTTCGTCTGTTAAGAATAGTCAATTGACGAAACATCATCACTTTCAATAAATTAATTTTAATACCTATAAATAGTAGCACTGAGATATAAAATCTATCCAAATCGATAGAGAAGGATGTGACACGAAAATTATAATGGATGGAAACTTAGATTCTCACCACACACCACGGTCTGAATGAAACCCATTGTAAGTAAGGTCTAGTCATATTCCTTGTCTATGATTGAATATCACTTGAGCTGCGTGGGAAATGAGTAAGAATTTTCTATCTAAGAATTTGGTGCATGTAAATGGTATAGGCTGCCCTGGTTTGGACATAGTTGCACCATAGTTGATAATCTGCTGTTATTAAAAATGTCGTTAACTTTATTACCGATGTTCACTTCTTAAAACCTGATACTTGGACGATTGGTATGTTAGAATGGGTGACGTCAAACCTCTGGATTAAAGTTCCATCGATCATTGACTTTTTAGGAAAGAAATCAAATTGTTTATCTTTCCAACCTAAAACATAAAAACTTAGGATCGTGTGTGTAATTGTATCGAAAACCATCCATGCACGATGTAAGTTTGAACAAATGATCATCCTATATATAGTAAATATTTAGACTCAATTTTTTTCTTTCTTCCTAAATTCATATTCCTTCCAAATATTATATCTCAATGATGATTTAAAAGTAAACGTGTTAATTTGTATCTGTAAAATTTGCAATGAAATACACAGAGTGTCGTTGGATACACGGATCATTAAAGAGACGTAAATTCCGGTTAGACGTAAATGTTCCAACTGAACAGATGACAGAGTAGAAACAAAAGATTCTCTAACACTAATTATTCGACGCGGCAAACTTGTTGTTTTACATTGTGTAGAAATGTGATCTATGCAGCGAGAGCTGCTCGATCACAACGGTGTGACGCGATTATTCAGAGGAACGAGCGTGTAGTATAGCTGCGTTGCAGCAAGAGTATACGGATTGTAGTTACTCGACAATAGGATTACGCTGGTAGAGGGTAGGCTAATTTGAAAATTCCGAGGGAGCACTGTGCGCTTGCATATATGTGATTCACTGTATATATTTATAACGGCTTTATAACGAAATAGACAGTTTCGAGCATGAAAAATAAGAAACTCGATCAACTACGTTTATCGCGGTGCGTTAACAGATGCGCGGTTTCGAAACAGAAATATTGGACTCGGAGAATATTCTTTCGCGGCGCCGCGTGTAATCGGCGTGGTCCAGCTCGTGATCGGCTCGTTAGGAAATCACGGCTGCTTGCCTTTCTGACAAATAGACGGTGTTAAATGCAAATCAGTGCGATTTGTGAATAAACGGCTGCTTGCTTTAAAGAGATAGTACCGGTCGCGACTATAGGGAAATGTTTTCGAAACTAGCAACGAAAAGTTCAACTATACAAGCACGCGTTTTTGAAT